GTTGTTCTGTCTTCCCTACAGTAAAATGACAGATGCTGTGATGAAATATTAGTAAAGCAGTGTGCACAGACACGGTATTCCCTGGAGTGGTTAAAAGCCATACCGTCTACATTAGAATCTTGGCTCTACTGCCCTCTAACTTTATCATCATGGGCAATTTACTTAAGACTTCTGTGCTTCAGTTTCCTAGTCAATAAAGAAAAGGTAATGATAGTACCTACCTTATGATGATGGTGATTATGTCAACCCAGTAAAGTACTTAGAAAAACCCCAGGTACATAGAAAGTGCTAAGTGCTAACCATTATGGTCATTCTTGTTACTGTAAAGCTGTATGAAAACAAGAAATAAGATTAGTCTGGTATGTCTGGTTCTTGCATAGTTACCACTGTTACCTTTTTAACAATCTAGTCCAAAACCTCATTCATGACTTGTCAATGTACCCATCTATATGTTGGTAATCTATCTTTTCATTTTTAGAAACAGAAATATCAGCTCATCTTCAATCCATTCAGTATCTCCTAGTTCACCATGTCTCCTTAAAGACTACCAAGGGCCCTGTTATCTCTCTCTACACTGAGGACTAGAGACTTGAAGCGTACTCTGGTATCTTAATATTTGGGTATAATGGAGAAAAATAACAGGAACTCCCTAAGGTGGCACCTCAGTTTGTGCCTCTTGAGCCACAGGCAGTCCGTAAGCCTTAGTGTAGGAAATCAAGGTTGGTGGTCAAGGCAGTTGAAACGGAGCCAACTTTGGATCCTTAAGGCCAAGTATGAGAGGGGCCCAGGGTAGGAGCTATCACAGCACAGCTGTCCTTCAGCATACTAAGTTACTTCTGAGCCCAGGATAAGAGCCAACCAAGCAGGTATTTCCAAAGACTTGGGACATGTGTGGCAACTGAACCTGAAAGCATTATACAGCTGTTACCCATATTACCAATCCTTTCCAGAGACAGAATCTTGAAGTTAGGAAAGAACCTTCTAGATCTAGAGATTGTAAACTAATGGACCATGGGCCAAAAGTAGCTACAGATGTGTTATTTGCTCCCCTTAGTGTTTTATGTATTTTTTGAATTAGCTGTTAATATTTAAAGATTTGAAGATGGTGCATAACAAACAGATTTTGCTGGTCTTGAAATACAAAGATCTGGCCATATTCTGTCCTTGGGACAATAATCAGCTCAGGCTGAGTAGTAGCTATCTTCTTTAGACATGTGGAACCCAACCAGACAATAAACACTTTTAGAACCTGATTAAATCCAAGCAATTCATTCCAAAAATGAAGAAAATAGAGCGCTGAAAAACTATTTGACCTGTTCACATCTAATAGCAGAGTCAAAATCACAAGGCTAAGTGTTCTGAATTCCACTTCAGTGATTTTCAGTGAGTACAGCTGACCCTTGAACAATGTGGGAGTTGGGGCAGCGCCCCCCGCCCATGCAGTTGAAAATCCATATATAACTTTTGACTCCCTCTGAACTTAACTACTAATAGCCTACTTGACCAGGGGCCTTACCAATAACATAAACAATTGACTAACACATATTTTGTATGTTGTATGTATTATATGCTATATTCTTACAGTAAAGTAAGCTGGAGAAAAGATGCTATTAAGAAAATCATAATGAAGAGAAAATACATTTACAGTACCATACTGTATTTATCCAAAAAAAAGCCCACGTATAAGTGGACCTACACCGTTCAAGGGCCAACAGTACTGTTGCTCTTTCCCCTGGAGGATCTGAGATACATGTACATTACCTGCTTGTAGGCACTATGATAAAGAAATAAAACTGAGAACTTTTGCCTTTGCTCCATTTCTTTTGTTGGGTCAGAAATTCTTAGGGGCTGCAATCCAGTAGGGAAGTTAAGACAAGTCAGAAACTCAAAGTCCCAGCATTCTTCAGACTGCTGACCACACCCACAGTCTAAACTATCTGTGCTTTCTATACAAAGCACTGCACATTCCCAGCCTCCACAGATGCTCCCATATGCAGCTGGGTTATGAACAAACATACTGCTTTTTCCTTTGTTAATGGCCTTTTCTCTACCCACACAGGCAGTTAGGGAACAAGAGCCTCTGTGGGACACTGATGCTGGAGGAGAGGTCACAGAGAACATTTACAGATGACAGGAGGTCAGCAGAAGCTTGGAACTCTCTTACTGGCTCTCTTCCCAAACACCAAATGATTATGGCCATGGTCTTTGATACATTGCTTTTAAAAAAGTGCAGGCTCTGTCCAGATGGACATAGTGTTACACAAAGGATGTCCTGGCCATGCTCTGCTTCAGTGTAGTATGAAAATATTTGAAATCTTTAGCTTAAATAGACACAAATACAGAGTATCATAGCTTCATTATACCTCAGGTCCAGGAATATCTTACCTAAAACTGTCCAGGGGAATATTTGGTTTCCTTTATATTCCCTCCATATCTTGGAGATGTCAATGACAAAACTATAGCGTTAGTAATTAGGATAGGAATTGCATAGGGAATGAACAGTAACAAGAGCAACACATGAGATCATTCTCTGTAAAGGTGGTAGGAAACAAAATCAAGATTGTCTAATTTAAGGATAAGGAGAAAGCAGGTGGCAACTGAACTGGACTGGTGATGTCAAGGCTGAATAGCTGAGCAGGTACCCAGAGTCAGAAATTCTGACTTGCATAAAGAACCAAAAATGAATCCACTGTCAAAGGCAAGGATCAAACACGTATAATATCAAGGACACCTGAAGCCAAGAACTTACCAAGCCTTCCCTCTGCCCTGCCAAGGATCCTGGACTAGCTCCTCCATGTTTCCATAAGGGAGAATGCTGCCAGGAACCAGTAAGAACAGAGGCAAACTCTCCTTTGTGCTTCCCTGGGGACACCGCATTTAAAAATTCCCTAGGGTCTGTATCTGGCATATATTTGGGTGTCATAACCAAGTCCCCAAATTCATCAATTCCCAAGCCACACATCTGTTCTATATAGGTCCATTGATCCTGGCTATTGCACAGCCTTCCTGGGAGCACAAATGAAGTATGAGGCAATTGGCTATGATCAAAGAGGACTTGTCTACTGCTCCTCAACTAAGAGAGATTTCTTACTGAGGCAGAGATTTTTCTAGTGCACCATTTAGACTAATACCTTTCCTGCTTTTTGAATATTCGGTAATTGTAATCCCTCAGAACTAAATACACCAATATTTCATGAGATTGTTTTTAAGTGCGCTTTTTCTCTTTTAACACTCAACCCTCTCAGAAGCTCAGTTCATGTTCTTGATTTAAGAGGGAGAGGGAACCCAGGAGATAGGCTGGGCTCTATATAATAGGAAAAACTAAAGCTTGAGAGAGGGAAACAACTGGTCTGTCCCTCACTTGGGACACCAAGACACCCTGGATTAGGGCTGGGAGCCCTTTCACAGCAGGCACAAAATGCCAGCTCAGTACCAACTCACTCAGACTTCAGTGGTAGGACCAGGAGAACCTTGGTTAGACCTTTTATAACCCCTTAGTCATTAATATGCAGGATTTTGGTGCCTGCATTCAATCAGCCCAGGCTAGTAATTTGGTTCTAAGTAAGGCTCCTTCAGAAATGGGTCTTATAAAAGGAAAAGACCCAAACATTCCTAATCTAGCACTGGTCACTCAATTCAAAATCATGCAGTTTTTAAGTACCATGTCCTCATGGAGAAAGTACACCAGTGGGGAGGAAATGCCAGCCCTCCCCACAAGACAGTGAGTAAAAGAGGAATCAACATCATTTACATGATTTGCAAAAAAGTGGCTCAGAAAAGCTTTTCAGGAAGATGTGGTAAGCAGTATTCATTAGCCCTTCACACCTGCAGGTTTAATAATTAGGTTAGTTCTTCATCTTCCTTACTGCCTGAAGCTACTGGCTGCTTAGCTATTAAGGTTAGAGTCTAAACAGGCTGTCGTAAGACTCTGTTCCTTCCTCCCACACCTTGCTTTTTCATTTTAAGTCTCTGCCTCAGAGTTTCACTTCTGGTATGGTGGAGTTTAAGCACCTACTGAACAGATCTTCCAATGGAGAACAACTGTAAACCTGACAAAATACAAAAAAACCACCCAAAGGCATTAGAGAATGAACAAAAAAAGCAGGCAAACTCTGGAGACAGGTTGAAACTTAGAAGAAGGAAATGGCACAAGGTGAGTTCCCATTTTTATGGCTTTTAGCTGACTGAAAACTGCAGTTGAAGAATCAGAGGAAACCACAGAATCAGGGCAACCACAGCTGCTAGAAAGTGAGAGGGAAAATCTCAGAAGAAAAGAACCAAAGAAAAGAGAAACTCAAATTTTATGTATGCACTCTATGCAGATCTCTGGCGGGCCCCTGAACCACACAAGTGCAGGGTAAGCTCCATCTAAAGATAAAAGAACTGAATTGAGATTTGAGCTGTGGCCCAAAACACAATTGATAGTTTGAGTCCAATGAAGCTAAAATGCCTGCTAACACAAACAAACAAACAAACAAACAAAAAAATCAGTACTCTGTTCAGAGGAATATAACAGAATCCACAACACAAACATTTACAACATTCAGTTGCAAAACAATCTAAAATTACTCAGCATTTGAAGAACCTGAAAAATATGACTCCTTCTCTGGAGAAAAGACCAACAGCGGAGACCAACTCTGAGATGATTCAGTTATTGGATTTAGTAGAAAAGAATTTTAAAGTAGTTATAGCTATGTTCTATAGAGAAAATAAAATGCTTGTAATGAATAAAAACAGGAAATCTCAGCAGAGAAATTAACAGCAGAGGAAGATATACTATCATTAGTAACCCATGTTTACTGATGTTCTGATGACAAGTGAGATGGGAATTAGGAAATAACTCATATTCAGGGGCACCTGGCTGGCTCAGTCAGTAGAGCCTGTGACCCTTAATCTCAGGGTTGTGAGTTTAAGCTCCACATTGGGCATGGGGCCCACTTAAAAAAAAAAAAAAAGGAAAAAAAGAAAATAACTCATTCAAAAGTACCTCTGCTCAGTGGGAGATTTTTATTCCAAATGACTTTTATTTGTACTAAAACTAAACTGAAAGTTGCTTGCTGACACTATAGGTAATTAGTTTTTGCTCTTTGGGAGACTTGACATGACAGGTAGAAAGAATTTAGGGAAGTTTCGTGGGGAGATTTTACATATAGGTATTTTCATTTAGTGAGGATGTCAAAGACAGCTTTTCTGTTTGGCATTCCTGATATTCAACACCAGGCCTGCTACTGGTTCTTAATGGATCAAATTCTTCCTTCAGAATGTAGAACACATGCTATGAAATATGCTGGCCATGCATCTGAAGGAGGCAGGCTCCTGAAGGTAGGAAATGTTTCTACAAGGAGAAAAGTGATGTTCAGAGAGAAAGCATAGAGGGCATCAAAGTCTTATCTTCTGAAGTGATTCTCTCATGGAATTACTAAAAGAAGTATTTGGAAGAGAGAATCCCAAGTCCATCTTGGGTCTCACACTGGTTCCACTCTCCTTTATTCAGCAAATTCTACATACTGTGAGATATGTACTTGAGAAACAGAGCCAGCTTCTCAACCCCAAAGGTTCCTGGTGCTCTCAAAAGCAGGACATAAGAAAAGACACATATTGGTTCCTGGGTAAAACAACAGGACTCAACTCACAAAAAATGACAATGGCCGCAATAAGAAAGGTTACCAACAAGCCTGAAATTGTTCGTTTTGGAAATGGAGGTGACAGTTCCTCTGGGACAAGAAGTGTGATTATTTAATTCAATTTAAAAAATAACGCCCAAAATAAGAAAATAAAAGCGCTCAGAGAATATCTTCGCAACTCTGTAATGTGTATCAACTAAATTCAGTTTTCAGTGTTAAAATGGACTAACGACTCTGTTAAAATGGACTAATGACTCTTTGACCTAAGAACTGAGTAGTCACTCAATCAGAAACAAAAAAAATTAAGCAGAAAAACTAGAAAACTCCTCTTTTTATCATAGATTTTCTACTATAAAGCTGACCACCACATCATCCAATGATGGAAAATTCTAGAAACTTTACAAAATTCCTCCTTTTAAAATTTATTTTTTGTTATCAAAGAGAATGTCCAGAAACACTGAGTACTAAAGATCCGTTCATGGCATTGTTTTACAAAAGTTCCTAATGGAGTGTGAACATTTTATTTTCTGATGTATCCTTCACTTATTAATGATGAAGTGGAGGAACTGATGCAATTACTTAAAAAAAAAAAAAATCCAGACAAAAACATCCATTCTCATTCTGAATCTGCTGATTGGAGTGAATTCAGTGGTTACAATAGCACCACTGGCTAAGAACCAACCTCCCCATAGTAGGGAGCTTTTCTGGTCTTCTCATTAGGTCACGAAGGTCTCTCAGATATAGGCACCATGTTTGAAGTCTCACACAAAATGTCCATGTCACTTAAATTACACAACGTGGCAGTGTTTGTTCATGGGGACATAATCTTGAAAGAAGGGGCACAGTAGAAAACAACCTGTTTGTATGTTATATGTGAGTACATTACTGGACTGTGCATGAGTTTAAGGGCGTTGTAGCCCTCGTTAAAGAGTAATTCCACCAGTGAAGCATCTGTCATTTCCAGTTGCTCCTGGTGCTTAAAGTTGTCTACTCATTTCACCATGTGTTGTAAGGTCAGGGCCTTCTTCATCTACTGTTTGGCTCAAATGATTTGAACTGAGTTTAGTTGTCCTTCTCTTCCATTGAAGTTTTATTTCTCAGCCTCAGGATATGTGGGGTACTTGACCGTTTCTATCTTCTCTCGGACTTTGTAGGAGGGATATAGGCCCGTCCTTCCCAGTTTCCTGTTGACACCTTTAGAATAGCCATCCCAATGATTTCCAGCCACACCAATGATATCTCCAGGTTCCATGGGGATTTCATCTGCAGTTCGAGGTTGGTGAGGGTAAATGGCAATCTGGTTGTGGGCATTTTGGCCCCCAAAATAGTAGATGTCATCCAAAGAATGGAAGTTTGCAGAAGCATCAGGATGAAGTGTTTGCATGATTTCGTAAGCAACTCGACAGACCTTGGGAAAGAATGAAAAAAAAATGTTAGTATACATAAAATCTCCTTCATCGCAATCTGAAGGCCCTTGGACAAACAGACTAGGACTAGACCAGGACTAGGACTGAGAAGATGAGAAGTAGTAGATTCTAGTCACAGGTTTTCAGTGCATTTGCTCTCAGATATGGCACAAGTCATTCTTCATCTTTGTGCACAATTGTTTCTCTTTTTTTTTAAACATAAAAGATTACTACAACTAAAGTCTCTGGGAGAAAAAAAATATATATATACAATGCAAAGTACTTTAAGAATATGAATCAGTTAATTTTAATGAACATTTATTAAGAGTCACACAGTATACCTTGTGTTGGGCACTGGTGAAAGAAAAATGAGTAAGACATCGTTTGTGCCCTTGAAGAATTTAAGGTTGAGCATTAGGATTATAAATACTTAACACATATGCTGCTACTCCCTTCCCCTCCATTCAGTCTCAGTCAATCACATACTCTTTTCTGCTAGGTTGGACTTGATCTCAGAACTCTTCTCAATAGAAATTCATATAATTATTGACAACTAGCATTGGCAGGTGAGCTAAAGCATATCTGTCATTTCTGTTCTAAAGAGTTTTAAGAGCCCTGAGTAGATATTAGCATTCTAGAACTAAAATAAGATGGCCTAGCCTTTGGTGAAGATGCATCTACCTGATGCATTTAAAGCTACTTAAAAGATTCCTCTGTCCAAAGAATACCTACTATGCCCACTGGATGGCCGCTGAAATTCCACAATATGAACTTTGTACACTGAACCTGCAGCTTGGTGATAAAGTTAAACAATAACTACTTTCATGGGGATATAACATTTTAAGCAATTAATAAATACATTCTTTATAGAGGAAATGGGTTTCAGGAACTTTTCTAAGAATAGGTGAACACAGAAGAGAGAACACTACCATTTTACTTAGAAAATTCTTCCATTATAAATCATTGTGAACAGAGAACTCAAGTCAAATTTTCCCAAATCTCAGTTGTAGTTGTCTTAGTTAATGAAGCTTTATTGTCACTATGCCAATACTTTTGCATTTATTTAAAATGATACTACTAACAGTAATTGTTAACCCGCTCAGTGGAGCAAAATCAGGATTACCCACTAGTCCTTTAAAACTCTGGTATTTATGAGATCAAAAACTAAATGGAGCCGCTCATCTTTAACTACTATGAGCAAATGAAATCTGATTAGGTTAAGCATCACCTTAACTTCTTAAAGAATCTGAATTTCAGGAACTGCAGGGGTGCTTTTCAAATGCTATATGTAATCTGCAAATGAAACTAAGTTTAGAAAATATTTTAAATTTTGCAAATATGGACTAAAATATGAGGAGAGTAAGTGATCGGCCCAAATTCTAGTGCTAGAATTTCAACTAGTCATAGAACCAAGACAATGACTTTGCTTGCAAGTTTGCTACTCCATCAACAAACTAATTTTACATTGGGGATGTGGGGATGTCATGGTACAATTGAGATCACTGGTAGAATACTGAGATTGTAACAAAATAAGGGTCAAAAAGTTTTGGAACGGGAACTCCAAAGTCAGCCGAAGGCCCATAGGGGACAAGCAAAATCAAGTGGAGACTCCGGAGAGGAAGAAACTAAACAATTAAAACAAAGCAGCTCCAATAATAGCAAAGTATAGTGACAATGATAGAGGCTGGTATTTTTGGAGTTTTTGCTGTCAGACATTGTTTTTAGGTATTACTGAATTTAATCCTCTAAGTAGCCCCATAAAATTCTATCATGCTCATTTTACAGATGTCAAAGGTCAGTTAAGGAATTTGCCCAAGGTCACACTATTATTAAGTGGTAGATTCCAGTTTTGAACCTAGGCAGTTTGTGTATGCTTGTTAACTCCTAAGCATATTTCTCTTGTATATCCTGGTCTCCATATTTGGATTGTAACACCAGAAAGAACAAACATAAGGCCAAAGCAAGCCTTGGGCAAACTTGACAGGTTTTTTTTTTTTTCTTTTCTTCAGTGCCCACTCTTCAATTATCTCTAGCCAGGAATGCAGGAACTTGCATTGCCCTTGGGATGACCACACTGTGGCAATGAGCTCTGATGTATTTCCTCCTCTCCACTATTAATGTCTCACCCTCATAAAAACATTGCCTGCAGTCCCACACCCTTAGGGATCTACTTTCTTTTGGAGGATAATCCTAATAATCAGTTTATATTTTGGTATCCATAAAGTGTTAGCCTGTGGATAACATATGTATTTTCTTAAGCCAAAGAAAAAAGAATGGTAGAAATTTCAGACACTGAGGTGGGCTGATATAAGGCCCTTTATCTTTCTCATAATACTGGCCGGTGCTGTTATCACCCATATTGTACACCTGAAGAAATAAGCCCCAGAAAGATTAAGTGAAATTCCAAAAAAAAAAAAAAAAAACGGGGGGTAGGGGAAGGAGCTAGTAAATGGTAGAGCTACAATGAGAATACTTTCTGGCTCTCCACTATACACTAAACTGTCTTAGAATAAGTACCTAGTACTGTGCCCACATAGTAGGTGCTCAGGAGTACCTGTTGAATGAATACTGCTTCATGCATAATACTAGCCTAGCAGTGGAAATGCAGGTCCATGAGTGATATTTAATCTCTAAGATCCACATATAACATTCTTAGTAGTTAAAAAGATTTCTCTATATTTACCATGGGGCACCTTACTGCAAAGGGCTAGAAAGATTACTATAGTGTTAATGTTTGCATTTAATTACCTTAGGCTTCCTCTCTGGGCTTTACCAATCCAAACTGTGTGGCAGGTAAAGGAAGGCTTTCAGCTGATATCAATACTAAGTTTGATACTGGACAGGTAGCATGATTGAGAGAGGCAAATCTTTTGGTTTGAAAGCAGTGGCTGGCTATATGTAGTAAGTTTTATTTCTTATTTCATGTCAGTGTATCATTTAGAACACCACTAAGCACACAGTGATGAGTAAGAGCAAAAATGTTGCCAAAGGATAAAATACAGATGCAACTGTATTAAAAAAAATTAAAAAGGAGAGGAAGTTCCATTAACCTGAATTTTATCCCTGAGAAGCAACCAGCTGAGTTTATATGAGCCTCCAAAGCCTTATCAGAGCAGATGGGATCTTGTTTTTCTGTCAAAATAGATGGGGCCAGGAGGATCTCCTAGTGTGAGAAGTTGGAAGTAAGTTCTTGTCTCCCTGGGTGATGCTGAGAGATGTATGCACTTTTCCTGTAAACTACTTTGTTTTGCTATTCAACGAGAGAACAGTATCTACTATTGTTTCATGGGCCTTACCTCACTGGAAATTCCTATCCAGAGTCATCTGTCGAATAAAATGAATGTAGTATATGATTTTTCCCTTTGGGCTTTCCAAAATCTGATTCAGAAGGTAAGGAGGCCAGGTGTATTGTGTGTGGATTTGGAACCAGACAACAAAGAGTACCATGAGAGTGTTGTATTAAGTGTGAAAAAGGAAAGTGTCACAAGGGAAAAAAAAGTAATTTTGTCCTATTGTTATTTTAATGGTTAAAACTACTGAACAATGTTGATTGCTCCTTTAAAAATGCTGATTACCCAAAGCCTTTAAAGTGAGCATCTACAATTTCTGTAACTTAGATTCCAGAGTAATAAAAACTGATTCCAAAACCGGATAAGTAGTATTTTTTTTTTTTAAAAACCTTTCTGATATTTTGCCTATTTACAACTAAGTACAACTGAATAACCACTGCTATTTCACCAACTATAATTTCTGTGTTTCATATTTAAAATGGTTTTATTAAATAGGAAAATAAGTGACAAAGTAGATGCTTCGGGTATAGGCAAGAATAATTTGGAATGTGATTGCATAGCTTTCAAAACTTACATGATGTTCTTTGAAAATGTTAATATTGCCTCTAATTTTCAGATTAAATCCTGAGGATTGTTCTCTTCAATTTATGAGGCTTTTAGGACAAACTTGGCTTTGAGAAACAGCTCTGATGAAGGGATTCAGAGAACTAAGAGCAACAATAGTAACAAAACTAGAGAGTAAAGTCATATTATTGGCTTAAAAAAACTTTTCCTTTAAGGAGAGAGAATTCCCAGATCTTACTTATAGATATAAAACCAAGAAAGATTAGAAATCCTGAGACTGAGGGGGATGGGTCCAAAATGTGATGAGGAATCCCGATCAAGGTGCCATGGTATTGGTGCCTGCGGTTTCTCAAACATTAACCAAGTCTTGCATGGCATTTCATTCTTCCAGTATTGCCTACAACAGCTCATGGTCAACAGATAAACTCTTTCTCACTATTGTCTTATAGTGTAATAGTCCTCAAAGGATTGGACATAGGAGACAAAACTGCAGGGTTGTCAAAGCATTACGAAGAAGATATTAACCTCTTTGTCACTTTCTAATAATCTCTTGGAATATGATATTATCATTGAGGAAAGTTTGAGAGTTGGTTGTCCATGTTTTATTCTGGGCTGAGATTTGGTTCTCGATGTTTTATTCTTTTGTCACCCTTCTGGATGTAACACTTTAGTCCTTTTCCATTTCCCAGCATGCCTATGGCATATGTAAGAACGTTCTGCAGATTAATTTCCCTAAAGTCAACACATACACAATTTTACTTGCATTTGTTAAAGCAAAGACTATTACTTATCATTCACCCTTTGGGAATGAAGAGCTTTTGTTTCTGAAAATTTATATTATATGGTGATGTTCTCTTTCAATAAGCTAAATAAAAGAGTTGAGGTACGTTGGCACAGAGAAAATGAAATGCTGAATTTACTGGCTACTCTTCTTTTTTTTTTTTTTAAAGATTTATTTATTTATTTTAGAGTGAGGGAGAGAGCATGAGAAAGTGTGAGCCGGGGAAGGGGCAGAGGGAGAGGGAGAGAAAGACTCTCAAGCAGACTTCCTGCTGCGCTCCAAGCCCAACACAGGGCTTGATCTCATGATCCTGAGACCATGACCTGAGCAGAAATCAAGAGTCAGATGCTTAACTGACTGAGCCATCCAGGCGCTCTCTGGCTGCTCCTCTTAACAAAGAATTGTTATACCCGTACAATGTACATGATTATTCAGTGGAACCTAAGCATTACCCATGACCACAAGCAGGAGTAACAGAGTCCTTGAACAGCATGTTTCATGTTCCTCCTAAAATATGGGAGTATGTGGCCTGAAATGGGGCCATGTGAAAAAAGATTGCTCAAATAAATACTGTAGAGTCTAACACACAAAGGTACTCCTATACTTTTCCCTTTATAAATAACAACAGCGGCTAACATTGTATTTAATATATTGCTAAGTACTATTCTCAGTGCTTTACATATAACTTTTATTTTTTTTTAAATATTTTTTTTTTATTTATTTGACAGAGAGAGAGCACAAGCGGTGGGGAGGGGCAGAGGGAGAAGCAGACTCCCACTGAGCAGGGAGCCCGATGCGGGACTCGACCCCAGGACCCTGAGATCATGACCTGAGCCGAAGGCAGACGCTTAACTGATTGAGCCACCCAGGCGCTCCTATATATAACTTTTTTTTTTTTTTAAGATTTTATTTATTTATTTGACAGAGAGAGACACAGTGAGAGAGGGAACACAAGCAGGGGGAGTGGGAGAGGGAGAAGCAGGCTTCCTGCCGAGCAGGGAGCCCGATGTGGGGCTCGATCCCAGGACCCTGGGATCATGAACTGAGCCGAAGGCAGACACTTAACAACTGAGCCACCTAGGCGCCCCTACATATAACTTCTAATCATCACAAAAACTCTATGCAGTAGGTCCTACTACTGTTTTACAGGCTGGGGAAAAAAAGGTCAGTGATAGGCTAACTAATTTGTTCAAATGCCACCCAGATACTAAGTGATCAAAGTTAGATTTAAACCCAGTCTGATTCCAAAGTCCATGTTGCCTCATTTTTGTTCTCTGCCTAGGAGTCAATGGCTTGGCATTTTGATGCTATCAGTGACTTTTTCTCACACTCCACTGGTGATGATGATGAGACATTTCTGGGAAAATTTCAAACAGTTCCAATTTTGGTTTATGGCAAGAGAACCTCTACAATCAAGCAACCAATTTCATTCACAGTGCAAAAATACTGAACTGTACTAAATCCATTATTTTCTAAAAATATTTGCAAAAAATGCTGGAATACAAGTAAGCCCAGAGATTTATCAGTGAATGCGGAATTATTCCATAATTTCAAATGCTACAGCTGATAGTCATCAAGAAAGGTTTGTGATAATGGCAGTGATCACATTTAGCAAACTGCTACTCAGTATATAAATGTAAGGTATTTTTACTGTTAAACTTTTATTCTGAACCCTCACATAAAATTTTTTGAGGTATTCAAATCTATTTTGGTATATAAGATATTGGTTTGAGTTTTGCTTTGGTTCAAATGAACAAAAGTTATTTCGGATGAACTTTGTCTAACTTATCAAGAGTTTTTAGGAACAATATAATATATAAGCACAAATCTCATTCCTTTGGAGACAAAAAGTTCTTTCAGCACCACTCTTCCTTCATGTGAATGACTTCTCTGAACCTGAGGTCTGGAGAACACCCTGAGGTTGATATGCATAAAATAGAACAAAGTAGTATGAACAATATGCCCCTCAAGCTTGGACAGATTTCTACTATCATAAAGTAATAGAGGTCCCGATTTCTGGGTCAAAATTAGAGTCATGAGGTTATAAGAATCAAAAATTCTATAGCACATCCTTGAAAAGAAAAAAAATAAAAGGATTTTCTTTTTGGAATGAGCCTAATGGTATTATTAAGGAGGGCTGGAAGAAGGAAAGCAAAATAGAGCACATGCCTGTCTCAGTGTCTGCCCACATGTAAGGCTGCTGAGTGTTCAGACATGTATATATTTATTTAATTTTCAAGCTTTATGACTACAGCAGTGATTCTAAACAAAGGTGATTTTGTCCTCCCCACTGCTGTGGGGTATTTGGCAATATCTGAAGACATTTTCAGTTGTCCCAACTTGAGGTAGTATGCTACTGGCCAGGGATGCTGCTGAGTATCCTACAAGGCACAGGACAGTACCTCACAACAAAGTACCTGCCTATAATGCTAAAAGTGCCTAGGCTGAGCAACCCTGGACTACAGGAATAGACTTTAGACAGGCCTAAAATCTAGGCCTACAGAGGTGGTGGTATATCTGGGAAAATGACTCTTGCTTCATCATTCAAACAATAAGCATTCAAAAATGTGTAGAGGTTGTTACTAATCATTTGCACCTGTTGATCAGGTGGGCATATAGCCAGATTCTCAATAACATTTGAGAGAGACCAAGTAGTTATAACTCCTCCCGTCTACCCACCAAGAGACTAGAAAAGGGAGCTTCTCAATGAGAGGATCCTTATCCCCGTTAGGAAAAAAACGTCAGCAGTGGATGCCGTCATGGGAACTTGAAGGCCAAGAAAGTTTTCTGTTCTGACTAGGACTATTGCTATGTGACTTCTGCTCTGGGTGGAAAGTGTATTCTTATTTCATATTGAAGAAACTCATAGCCTTTGCTGGGGTAGGTATCTTTCCAATAATCATATCACCACCCCATTGTGACAATGTGCATTGTCACAAAATAAAAAAACTGTCCATTTCTTTATACTCTCTGAAGTATATTCCCATGAAAATGGTGCGGCCTCCCTTCTCACATTTTCTTTTCTCTGCTTCTTCTAAGCTTTTAGGCAAAGATTTATCTTACATGATCTATATTTCTTGGTAATTACTCTCCAGTTACTTCATGTGAGTATTTTGCTCACTAGATTCTGGACCAGGGTAAGATCTGTTGTAGCTTCAATCACCCTAGAAATCCTCTCCACACCTAATATAATTCTGAGCACAAATAGTCATTTAACAGCTTGTTGAATGAACTAACCCATAATATGCACATAAATGAGAGCAGGATAAAACCAACAATAAATATTTCTATGCTGGTATTCCACTGTGTATACAAGGCTGATTGGACCACTCATAAAAACAAAAACACCAAGCCCATAACATATAATTATCTGCAACAATTAAACTCAAAGAACGATTGTAATATGGTATTGCCTAAATTTAATATACAGTCTCTTGCTTGGTAGAAATGTAACAGGACTTGAAAAAGAATTACATTTACACTTTATTTCCTATAAAGCAATTGAGTGAGACACAATGCTTGGTGTTTAAGCCTCTCAGTATCAGTGCACCGATGTGTAGAAGTGGATGGATGCTGGCTGCATACTGACTATACAAAATCAGAAAGTATTTTTTGAAAAAAGATTTTGTTTATTTATTCGAGAGAGAGAGAGCGAGTGCGCACCAGCAGGAGGAGGGGCAGAGAGAGAGGGAGAGAGAATCCTGAGTAGATCATGCACTGAGCACGGAACCCTACATGGGGCTTGATCTCATGACCCTGAGATCATGACCTGAGTCGAAACCAAGAGTTGGAAGCTTAACTGACTGACCCACACAGGCACCCCTGCAAAATCAGAAAGTATTAAGTAAGCTTACTTACTTGCTATTTTGGTTAAATGCTGTGAACATGCCAGTACTTTAAACAACTCCAATAGCTGGCTTCAGTGGAGATGTAGTCAACAATTGCTTGTAAGCAACTAAATACCTGAATACTTATTTTTTTTGGAGGGGAGGGTATGGAATCTTCCCATTCTTTCACAAAAGAGATCATTCCCAAATATTAGGAAAATTGCACCTGAGTCATGATAACATTAAACACACATACATACATACACAAAACAAAACAACCAAGAACTTCCTGAACTCAATATGACCAAAAAAATATTGGCCATTTAAACATGCCCTACTATCACTTACCTGGGATGAAAAAGTACACACTAGGAAGTCTGCCTGGGAGAGAAAGTGTATATCCAGGATCACACCCCGAAGTGAATTTTCTGTGTATCGATTGTGTAGTCCAGCAGACCAAGAGATAGAGTTATCACTAATAAATTCGTAAGTGGGGTACCTGTAAAAAAAAGAAATAAATTTGTACATAGTCACTGAAATCACAGTACTCTATCGGGAGGTAGTATCTTACCAGAAAGTCTACCATATGCTCAAATGATTCTACTGTGAATTAAGAGGTTTTAATTATACTCTAGTACAGAGTGAATAAATTTTCTCAGGGGTGAGGTAGATCTTCAGAGTTAAGTTGCAAACTTAGGGAGTTAAATCAAAATGGGATAATAATTGTACCTGCTTTATATAATTCTGTGGGAATTAAATACACTAAGCAATGTAAAGTGCTTAGAAGAGCACCTGACATGTACTAAATGCTCAATAAATATTAGCCGTGATTGTTAAACATTCTTCTGCAGATATCCACTTGGTTTTATTCCTTACTTCCTTTAGATCTCTGCTCAAATATAGTCTTATTAATGAGGACTTCAGCAATTTCTATCTTTTTTTACCTGATTAACTTCATGACTTTTATTATCATTGGACATATAATATATATTGACTGTTATTTACTGCCTGTATCCATTCCCCACCTTCATCATCCCTAAGTGGAATGTAAGCTCTTTATAAAGAGGCATTTCATCTGCTTTGTTCACTGTATTATTCTTAGTACTTAGAAGAGAATCTGGAATAAAGGATTGATAAATATTTGTTGAGAGGGCAATAGTTCCTATTTGTAAACCCTGAACAATCAGAAGTCCGTTTACATGTCTGTCTCCCACACAGTATTCCCCAAAGGTTGGGACTAGACTTTATTTTTCTTTGCTTCACAGCACCTAGTACCCCACACAATGCTGTGTGAGTAAATACATGAATAAGTGAATGCTACCTATGTCTGGGACTTTTTCCTAATCCCCTAAAAGCTGCTTTAGATTCTCTTCATTTCACAGCCACCAAGGAGCTTTTTCTCATTGCCTCTAATAATGACTGTGACAGCCAAGTCTCTGAGCACTGTTTCAGACTGGTAATCAGTGTTCCGATCCATTTGGCCTCATTATTTTTGACATTTTGCCCTCTTCAGCCCCAAATCAGGGAGACAAAGGAAATGTCACATTTGTTTTAAAAAGAAAACAACCAAAAAGACTTTTAATGTGATTCTTGTGAAGCTGCATACCCAGGCATGGGGCAGAAACCGCAACAAATAAATATGAAAAGGCTGGAGGATAGAGGACCGAGGGAATCATTAAAACACACCAATACAGGTTTTATCCTCGAATAGACTAACTCTGTCAGCATGGTTTGGGTGCCCAGTGAAAAGAAAAGAGTGATCCTTTTGCTGAGATGTGACACTAACATTAATGCCCTTCCTAACTTAAAGACCCCTCTCCCTGGAATCAAACCAAAGAACACCCAAGTTCCTCAGCCTTATCTGAGACTGCTTGATGAAGGATACGGAGTTTGGAAAAAACAAACAGAAACAAAGTGAACAATGGAAAAGGGAGATTTTGCATCTCCAATAAAACGTATGGAAATTTCTACACAAACATGCTTCTTTCTTGTCTTCTGACCACAAGTACATCAGCAGAGGCATTACTTTTACTGGTCCTGGTATACAACTCCTACAGCACATTCATCTAACTATACTTCAATAACTTGTTACATGTACATGTATACGCCTACCAGCTGGATACTCCTTGAAATAAGGAGCCACATATTATATTCTATTTCTCTTTGTATTCTAGTGTCCTGTAACTGTGTCTAGCTTATTACATTTCAATAAAATAGTGAAAAAAATCACCACCCTTTATTGCTGAGTCTTCATTTCACAAGGCAACCAAACCCTTTACAAAAACTTTTAAATACATTTTTCTTGCCTCTACTCATTTAAACGGAACTAATTTTAGGAGGGCTCATCCAGCATTTTTGATAAAGAGCACACTAAATATGTAAATATTTATTCTAGGAGATTTTTAAAGACCTGTTTCTTCTCCTGTTTCACCCGTTCCCAATCTCCACGTCTCAGACTACAATATTGGATTGACAGCTTTAACAGTTTTTATTTCTTTGCCAATGATTCTGTGATTTAAACACTCTAACAGTGAATTACCTAAGAGAGAGATCTCCACATTAGCAATGGCTGCCACAGTCAGTGCAGGTGCCAAAATCTCATGGACAAACTCAGTCTTAACCAAGAGAAACCTGAGGTGTAATACCAAGCAGCAAAGCATTAACTGCTCATTTTCACACAGAAATCACATATATAAAGTTAATCTTGACTGCTTTTACAAAAGATAAGCTACCCAGAAAATGGATTCTTCCCTGTGTGAATTCTATGCATCATTTAATTCTTCAGCTCTTCACCCTCTTGAAGCACAGAAGTCTCATAATCACCCTGGACACTATACACCTTGATGAGAGATTAATTCATGTTTTTGGTCTCTAAAACTTAAATGGCAGAGGTTTTATGGTTTGCTTAGGTATCAAAACTAATCCTGACAGGTCTAAAGCAGAGTTGATTCAGAGTAGAAAAACATCTATGTAAAATAATGAAGTAGAGAAACAGCATTTAAGTTCCTGAGAAAATTTTCAAAATGACTCATAAAATTGGGGTGCCTGGATGTGCAGTCGGTTAAGCATCCGACTCTTGATTTTGGCTCAGGTCATAATCTCAGTGTTGTGAGTGCAGAGCCTGCTTGAGATTCTCTCTTCCTCTCCCTCTGCCCCTCCTGCTCGTGCTTTCTTTCTCTCTCTAAAATAAATAAATAAATCTTTAAAAAAATGACTCAGAAAATTAAAATTAAAGGATTTCCAGAGGGGGAAAAAAAGTGCATAAAATGCTGCTGCTATGTTTATAACAGAATATGAAAAAAACCCCTGCCTCCTGGACTACCATGGGGAGAGGAGTTACTAGCTGCTGACCACAAAAAGGAAATTCAAACTGTACTATTCCCTGCTGCCAACTCTACTATAAGGGTTGCTTCTTGTAAAAATATCATGCTGCACTATGGATCAAAGTTGTAAGATGTTCATATCCGTTTATCTAATATTTCCAAGTCCAAAAATCTAGCTTAAGGAAATAATGTGGACAATTTTAAGAATACATCATAGCATTATTTATAAGAGTAAAAAACTGGAAATAACCTAACTGTACAATATTAGGCAAATGAGCAAGCAAGCAATTGCACATCAATATAGGAGATATATAGTCATTAAAAGGGACATTTATGATGATTAAATTTTTAGGGACCTGAGAAAATGGATCCATTGCTGTATTAAGTAAAAAGAATTCAAATTATTATATACAATACGATCAACTACTAAAATGGGTAACTATATAAATGACTAAAGGGAATAAGTCAACATTTAAGTAATTGTTGCCACGGAGTAATAGGATTGTGGGTAACATTTTTTCCTTGCCTGTATACTTACCAACTTCCATATCTTTTAATGAGCATGAATTATTTTGCTAATCAGGGAAATAAGAAAGACAGGAAAAAGCTTGTGATGCTTCAAGAACAAGTAAAAGAGTAGATAAAATTAATTTTATTATTTTTTCAACCAAGCTACAAATTTAGTCAGGTATTTTAAAATGAAGGAGCATGGTGAACTAGTTCTACTTTGTTTCTAATCGGTCTGGATATCAAACTGGAAAAGTATCTGTGAAGATTTTGTATTGTGTTTTGTGCCCAAATGTTCATTTAATCCCTAACTATAAGCATATAACTTGGCTTATGCTTGGCTGATGAATTTCATGGTCCTTTGTGTGTATGTGTGTGTGAGAGTGTGACAGTGTGAGAGAGTATTTGATAGAGGGAGACTTAAAAAAAAACACGCAATTTATATCAGGTTAATTTGAATTCTTAGGAGGGAGAAATAGGATTTAAATTATTATCCAATGATTTGGATAAACACCCACATTACAGTCTTCACTTTAAATTAATGTTTTTCTTCCCAACTCCTATTTGTGACATAAAAAATGGACCAAGAAATAAATAAATAAAATAGTCAAATAGCTTAAATGGTTAACAGCTAATGAAATGTTTCCAAACCGATGGGATTGAAATAAACATAATTCAATAATTACTGGGCACTTACTAGAGCTAGGTACTGGGTCTAACGTGCTTATAATCCAGTGAGGAAGACAGAGGTAAGCAAGTGCTAAACACTAAGTCAGGGGAATGCACAGAGGAGGGACACTTAGGGATTCACTTAGGGATGATTTCTGGAGTAAATGGTGTCTGAGCAGAACTGAGACTACAGATTCTTCTCCTTCATTTCCTACTTTCACACATTTAATACATCCTTTATTTGTTAATAGTAAATAAAGGCCAATTCTAGGTTAACCTAGATCCTGTGATAAATTCCCAATTAGGATCAGTGTGCTTTATGTATTTTCCAAACACCCTACATTAACTCTACAGCAGCACTACTCATATTGTCCTCCTACTAGATTAGGAATTCCTTGAAAGCAGAGTATCTTGCATATCATGGAATCCCCAGCACCTACCACGGTGCCTGAAATACAGGCATGTTCCATAAATGATGGTTACTGTTCAATACATACTAGAAGCTCTTATTGTTCCACTTATAAAACTTGTCTTCTGATTCTTTACTTTTCTTTAATATAATTTCCAAGTTCCAGAAATTTCTTATGAGATGAAAACTTATATTTTACATATGTTTCAGTTGCCCACAATTGCTAGTGAAGATAGTGAATGCAAAAAGGTAAGCCCCTGGTGTGTTTTATTTCTAGCAGTTGGTTAGTGTTGTGGACTGAATGTGTGTGTCCCCCTAGAATTCCTATGTTTGAGCTGTGACCCCCAATGTGATGGTATTTGGAGATGGGGCCTTTGGGAGATGATGGGGATTAAATAAGGGTATGAGAATGGGGTGCTCCTGACGGAATTAATGCCTTTACAGGAAGAGACACCAGAAAGTTTGCTCTCTCTCTTCCAAACACACAAAGAGGTCATGTGAGTACACAGCAGGATGGCAGTGGCCTACACACCAAGAGAAGAGACTTCAGAATGAAACATACACCTTGCTGGCACCTCAAATATGCTTTGATTATATTAACAGTCACACAAGTACACAGTTGTTTGAATTAAAAAACTGCCAATAATCAGTAGTAATATTATAACAAGAATCACAAGTCATGGGAATTAAGGATTCCTTTCAATTGAAAAGAATCCCAGTCTCATTTAACTCACTTTGTTTTTGCCTCCTTTAATAAAGAAGGGTCGTCCGTGGCCAAATATACTCTTCTTTTATCCACTTGCATTCTTCGAGCAAGAAGCTGAAAATGTTCTTCAACGTGTACCATGTATTCCTCAATGGGATGGAAGGCTGCTTCTGTTCCCACTTTGTCTGTGCGTCTGACATGGACTCTGGGGGGCAGAAGGAGAAAGATTCTGCTGATAGGGTAATTCAACTTTATACCGTTATTCATGGTGGCATCATAGACATTTTAAACGAATTTTTCTTTCATTTTGCCATTAGAAAAAAATATTAAAAAATTCAAACAAATATATTCTAAATATATTTGCATGTTAACACAATACAAGGAGAATTAAAAAATAAGCTTCTGAAGAATGCTTTCTTGTAAGGTAATTGGCATATCCAAGAATAATGGTAAAATAAATGGAAGATTCCAGAGTTATACTCCATATAGGGAGCAAAATACCAACCAGCCTTCCATAAAAACTGGATATAACTTTTTAAGATTTTTGACAACAAATGATACCAAGATTCACAGTTGTTATTACAGAATATTAAATATATTTTTTGCAACATTTTGATGCCAACTTTTCTTTTTCTTCATGACACCCTGTATAGTTACTGTAACTGCCAGCTTGTAGAATTGAAAGTTGTCTGAGGAAAACACAGACCTGCACAGATTCTTCCTATAGCACAATCAAGGCAGGCAAACCTTTTAAGAATTCTTACTATTTTAAGTTCATGGAGACGTTCCAGCCCTTTTGTTGTATGCATAATGAATTTCCTTTTGCTGTTTTCACTCTGTCAAACACAAGCAGATATTGATCTCATCTGTCCTATTCAAAAAAAAGCTCTAAAACTGTAAAATTGGGGACAAAGATTTACATTGTCCTGCACTGAATATGTGCTGACTTCCACAGTACTCTCCTCCCATCTTAGTGCTTTCAAAGTAATTGTAATGAAAATAATAATGGTCAGAGTTTATTTTCATAAATTAAAACTCTCCTTATATTTGCCCTTCCTGCATCCCCCCCTACCAAATTACTAAAACACTATTCATGTATGGGAAAAAGAAAAAGGTAGATTTGTTTCCCCTTAGGTCACAGTATATGGGCAGGCCTTAGGTCAAGGCAAAGGCCAGCTTTTCATTATGAATCTGGAGAGAGGGTCTATTTTCACTGTAGTTAATCTGGTATCTCTGCAGGTATTCTTTCCTTTGCATTCCAGACTATAGTTACAGATGTGAATACCATCGTATGAACACCTTTTCTATCATCTTTTTCTTCCCATATCCTTTTTTTTTTTTCCAATATGCATGTTTTATTTGAATGCTATAGGCCCAAACAGGGAGCTGTTTCTCCTATTCATTATTTTCTGATTTTTTAAAAATTTTTTATTGTTATGTTAATCACCATATATTACATCATTAGTTTTTGATGTAGTGTTCCATGATTCATTGTTTGTGCATAATACCCAGTGCTCCATGCAGAAGTTGCCCTCTTTAATACCTATCACCAGGCTAACCCATCCTCCCACCCCCCTCCCCTCTAGAACCCTCAGTTTGTTTTCCAGAGTCCATCGTCTCTCATAGTTCGACTCCTCCTCCAATTCCCCCCCTCCATTCTTCCCCTCCTGCTATCTTTTTTTTTT